AATATTCGTGATACATATCTTTCTCTTCAGAATCTCACTACTTCATTCAATAGCGACGTAAGTGCAAGTTAGTTAAACAGCTCTAAAAATATGTCAATAGATATTTTTTATATCCCGTACAGTATGTCCGCCAGTACCGATAACTGAGATACGTGTGCGTGTGTGTGCGTGTGCGTGTGCGTGTGCGTGTGCGTGTGCTTGTGTGTGCTTGTGCGTGCGTGCGTGCTTGTGTGTGTGTGTCATGGTGTGGGATGGTAACACCTGACAGGCGAACTGATTTGTTACTGTAAAAATGCCATTTGGCAATTTGCACGCGGACGTTTGACACACAGCAGATGTTTGCAGCAGTGTATCAAATGAATGTTCATACGCTATGAATGTAGGTCAAGACCCGGAACCCACCAAAGAGGACAGATATAGTGGTGGCAATACCAAGAAAATTGCACGCTGACCGTATTAAATGATAAGGTGGATCGCCCAACATAGCTGACCATCAAGATAACGATCGGCATATAAGGTGAAAACAGAACTGAAAGCATCGAATTCCAAACGTAGTTGTTAAAGAACAAGTGATGGTGCTAGGACAAACAAAGGAAACGACACGGACCCTGTGAATGTGTGAGTGTTCACGGTCGAGAATCCATGAAGCACAGTATATACAGGATAAACATGAATTGATTGTCGTTCTCCTTCATGAATCTACCATCAACACCGACGTGAAAGCTTTATTTGACATGCACATGTGATAACATAACTCGTATCGATTTTTCCTCCTGGGAACAGAGGTACTGCTCTATACTCGGGGTATAGGGATACCAGATGCACAACCCGAGGCTGCTGCACGTTACACAAAATGACGACCAAGATCTCCGAGCCAAGTCCCCCTTTCGCTGACTGTGTCAACATGCATGGTCTGAACACACTACTGAAGACAGATTCCGGCTGTTGTCGCAGATGTGTATGGGTGATGATTTTACTGGCAGCGCTCGGCTTCACATCCTACAACATCTACAGCCAGATCATTCATTACGTTCAAAAGCCTATAAGTGTCAACTTCGATATCAAGAGAGGCACAACTCTACCCTTCCCCACCGTCACCATCTGTAACATCAACTTCATGCGACTCCAGGCGGCAATTGAAGGCCAATTCGTGCCGTTGGTGAAGAATATGAAGCGATTTGGATTTGATAACGTACATAGCACACCATCTTATGACGGATTAGATTTTTCCCAGTACAACAAACCATTGGCTTGGGAGACATTTTATCGTCATCAAGGACACGCGATTTACTATCAGCTGTTACAGGCAAGTACATGAACACGGTTTGCTAAATGTTTCCTTTACATTTACGATGTTTCAATCACCTCGAGAATAGCATTCTGATTCTGTTGTATTTCTGGTAGTGTTATGTTTGTTGTGGTGTTGCATGTTATATGATTGTGGTATGTCTCTGATGAAAGGTATTCCCGCTGTGGCCCACTGATGACACCACTGTTCTTAGTTACATGCAAACAGGCTGTAGCTGCAGTCAACTGGTCAAGGCGGCGTCCCACCCAGTGATATTACTTGAATGTATCTTAAAAGGGCTGCAATGTAATGAGAATGCAGATTGTGAAATGTTGGAGTTTTTCACGGTAGAACTTATACACATGGAAAATATATCGCAGAAGCCAGATATTTCATACTTCCTTTCTGGATAAAACGGACCCTCAAGGAATAATCAAATGTAAAAAAACCAACAACAAACAACAATGAAAACCTGAATTTTATTCAGAGAAACTAACATGACAAAGAATGAATTCATTTTGAAGTGCGTAACTACGGACTTATAACGTAAACAACTGCGGACTTTTTCATAATTATGGCATACAATTCTCCCAGAGATCACACAAGTATCATTAACTGAGCACAATATCAATGTCTGGTGTAACCTTCACTAAACTGCCAAACTGGAACAATATCCCTGACCATCCGCCTCATTGACTGTATCAGCCGTTGAATCTGACGTCGACGTATTGCTTCCATTCTTCGTGGAGGGCTTGTTCCAATACGTCAAGATTTTGTACTGGAGGATTTCTCTGGCGTATTCTGCGACCCATGATGCACCAAACACGTTCCCTGGGATTGAGATCTGGACTACTGGTGGGCCTCCCGACGTAAGAAATCACCTGCTACAGGTGTACTATGTGGCTTAGCACTGGTTTCATGAAGACTGGCCTTGTGTTTAAGGAATGGTCATCGAACTGTGGTACAACTGTAAATATATATATCAGTGATGCACAAGTGTCCATTCAGGTGTTGTCTTATCATCACAAGGTCAAGTTTAGAGTCAAGTGAGATGAACCCCACACCATCAATGAATCCCTGCCAAACGGTGCTGACTCCAAGATATTCCGCTGTGCATATGTAGTGTTTCTGCAGCGTCAAATACGAGCTGGCCATCAGTCATGAACAAGAGACATTGACTTTCGTCAGACAAGTGGACCCTTCTCTCGATGGCAAATTCAAGTGGCGTCGCCCTTAACACCGACACTGCTTTTTGCTCTGGGGATGACAACGGACGTCTAATATACCCGACCCGTTTGACAAACGAAACCATCCTGTTATTAACACGCCACTTGACATGAACGGTTGAAGTCTTGTGATACTGAGAACGGTTGTCCCTGACTCATGATCGACAATCCGAGGCAGGCCTGAGAATACGTTTCACGATAATGTTCGTCTATCTGCACAAATGTCTGTCAAAGGAGATACTGTTGCCGTTTCTGCTCAAGGGATGGTCTAAGGGGGTACTTGTATTACGCTATGTGTACATTATATTTTCCTAGGGGATACTGTTGAGGTATGTGCACATTAGATGTACTCAGGAGGTACTGTTAAGGTACAATAGTTGTTTTTGTTTGTTTTTTGTTGTTGTTTTTTTATTCCATTTGAAGTCTCACATAAAATACATATGGCAAAGAGGACAACATCCAAATATATATGTATATAGCTTCAGTGATGTTTTGCAAGGTTCTATATGACATAAAAGACAGTATTGCAAACATATACACACACGCGCACACATACATGTATACATATACATACATATGCACATACATACACGCATGTATACATATATATAAATATAACATCATGAGATTACAACAATTATATAGATACATAAGATGTCATTAAAGTTTCTGTGGAGGGAGTATGAAATTGGAGGGGTAAGGTTGAATAGTATGGTTGTAGTGAGTAGGGTCTGGAGGTCTTAGCTGATATTATAAGTAGAATTTAATGTTTAGCACATAGTAAGGTATATAAATGTTTCCATTTCCTTATAAAGGGATCTAAGCTATTGTTTTTCCAAGCTATATATTTTTCAGTTACAATAGTTGGCCATAAGTGAGTCATCATTAGTGAAATTCCCACAGACTTGCATGTTAATTAACTTTTGCAAGAATAATTTTCATGAATTAAATTTCTGTCGAATTGCTTTCATTGCTTTGGGAAATCATCTCAGCTACATACACGTAATTATCCATTCAATTTTCCGATGATTATTAAGAAAATTGCAACTATTTAAACCACATATATTAGACATACCAATCAGGTTTAACATGGCTGTCTATGGGATAGATTAAAAGCCATACCTATATATGGTGCTTAATCAGGTGTCATTCGATAACTAATCAACGGAAAGATGAATGAAAATTATGTACACGTAGCTGAAGATGATTTCCACGATGTTTGCAGAATATCAAAATAATGACTCCTACTCAATTTATGAAAATTATTCTTGCAACAGTTAATTAGCATGTAAGTCTATGGGAATTTCACTAATGATGACTCACTTATTGCCAGCTACTGTATATTCTCATTTGACGGTTTGCGGAGCTGCTGCTGAGGTGGTTGTACATGAGATGTTTCATGGAGTATTCTATAGGTCTCTGCAGTTTAGTTGGTCTAAAGAGGAAGCATAAGCACATCGGTGAATTGGAATCAGCTGCTTGAGTAAAAAGAGTACTTTAAACGTACATCCACATCAGATACCTTTGTTAAACATTGTAACCCGTTGACAAACCCCAACTGGAAAACCATCTTTATCTGCTAGGGGTAGCGGGTAGCGAATTGTTGAAGTCAATATGACAGACTACAATTCAGTGGAGGATTCAGTGAAGGTGTGCTGCGGCCAGCGAATACAACCCGAACACCGTTAACAGAAACGAGTTCAGTAGTGTTTATGTCACATCAATTATTTAACCCTAAATCTTTCAAAAGCCCATATATGGGGGATATCCTCTACAGCACATGCCCGTAGGGTACCTGAAGACAACGGTAAACCTCATCACAACTACCCAGCACAAACTGCCCGTTAGCAGTATATCTGCGCTCAATCCTTCCCCCAGGCAGTGTCACGGTGCCTCACACACAGTGGGTTAATGCCATGTGTACATTGTAATTCCGTGTGGTTTTGTATGGCGCGGACATTTGTGAGTGTTTGTGTTTGTCTGGTGAGGATAGATCAGTCATTATGGCTTTGATGTGTGACACGTGGGAAAGTAGTATTCAGTTTTAACGATGAAGTTGATGGAGCAAACTCGGGATGCCTCCCTAGGGACGGTCAATACAGAAAACACACAATACAACAATACTGTAATGCAATGCTCTACAATCCATTACATGATATAAAAAAGGAGTATTTGTTGTTGCATGATGTTAATACGTGATTAACGAATAAATTGTCGTATTCAAATTCAATTGTGCATTTCGCAGGTAAATAATAATTACGCATTTGCCAATACTGTTTAACGGTAGTTTATTTTACCCCGAAAATAGGATTGTTACTGGATTTAACCGTTTCTGTTAAAATTCATATGTCCGTGCCTGCTGTGGGTGTAAAGGTAGAAACATGTCAAAAATTACGTAGAAGGTGAGCTCCAGAACCTTGAATATCATTATTTGCTTACATTAGTCAGGAATACCCAAATGATAATATATTCTTTTCTATTTCCAGTGCCGATGGGAAGTTGGCGATTGTGGGATAGAAAATTTCACTACCACCTTTACTGATTTTGGATTCTGCTTTGTATTTAACGGTAAGGACTGGTAGTTTGTATTGACGTGCATTGAAATGTTGACAACAAGATGAATTATGTTGACGACAATGATGTTAAAACCATGTCACGTTATCGCAGTACCATCGCTGTACCCTCTTCATGAACCATTGTCAGTTTCCTGAATATTACCAAAACTTAGTTCCATGGTGTCATGAGTATATAGAATGGGAATCCCCGTCACTGAAAGTAGGACTCTCCGCGATACCGTAGTTGTAGTTTGATTTTGTGGGCGTGGGTTGTAGTGTAACATTCATTGTGAAAATTCAATTCTCTGTGACCACTTCAGCCAATCATTTGCAAAATACAGGGTTTACATTGAACCCAACGAAACTTTAGTTATATAGAGCTTTAGGGGTGACATATAGAGAGATTATTACACGAGCAAGTATGCCATACGACACACGAGCGAGAGCGTTAAGAGAGCTCGTTAAATACGTTTTGAAACAACTCGTTGTAAGATAAAAGGTATCTGACAGACACGAGTACAGTAACCTGTTTCTTACACACCATAAAATCGCACCATTTTGTGGTCAAATAGATTCAAATCTAATATTTTCTCATCGTAGCTGCGCAATAATACACATCACAACGTTTATGAATGAGTGACGTCACTTGGCTTCCTAATCACTACTCATCCTCATGGTGACCCTCCACAGAACGTTTCTGCCACATCTTCGCGTCATCAAGGCAATGGTGATAATGCAAACTAGATAAGATCACTGAAAATTAAACACTCTAAAGCGATGATATTGTCATGATTAATGTGGATGATTTTAATTCTTGTAAGCATAAAACATTTGAGCATGTGACGTCATCGTTATCGTTTTGTGGTTGTCGTCATCGGAAGATTGTTGTGGATGTCTCTGCACATTGGGGATCTGTACTTGTGTACCTGTTTACGATAAGTCGTATCACACACTTGCATGTGTAATAATCTCTATGTACGTGTCAACATTGACATCACGTAGATGAAAAAACACACCGGTGCTGACGTCACGTACGCCATGGTATACATCAACACTGACGTCATGAATATGAAGATTTATATCAGTTTTGACGTGACGTTATATGTCATGGTTTGACGTCAGGTGCATGAAGGTAAATGTTAGTGTCGACGTCACATACGTCACACATGGAGTAACAGCTGTGGCGTCATATATACGAGGGCATATGTCAGCGTTATATATGTGTGTCAGTGCCATGTGCATGAAAGTGTATGTCAGGTTATATGTCACGTACATAAGGTATATCTACTGTCATTCCTACATTCAGTCTTCGAAATATTTGTATCCAGATTTCCTGGAATGTACACATTAATATATATATTACGGGATAGGGATTGGTCAGTTGGACAAATACAATACAGCTCCAAATAAATCAAATAGAACTTTGTTTCGATTGCCAGTCATGACATTACAAGGTGTAGTGAGATATACACACAGCGACATACTGTAACAAGGTAACCTACAGCAAACGGCAACTGTTTACATACTGGAGAACACCCCCTGCAAATGACAGAAAACGATCCCTCGGGCACTGACCATGTTGCATTATTTTGCTATGCTTCTCTCTAAAGTTTACCCTAACTTGTATAATGCCTCATCTACGTTTAGCATCAGTGACTATTACTTTCATGATAATAACATTTATCTCAGCAAAATCTCCAGATAACGGACGGTTCAACATGACTCGATCGCCTATTGACAACTATTGCCTATTGTTGTTAACCCCGAACGTAGGATTTAACAGACCTTTCATATTTTTATGTTTACCTTTATGAGAACCCAGCAGATACTGGCTTTATCCATTTGTTTATCCTGTCGAGAAAAATACCTAGTATATGATATAATGTATACATAAGCGCTGCTGTCACGTACATTCAGGTGACGGCAGGCTGAAAGCTCGGAACTCCGGACGTGACTACGGTCTGCGGTTGTCCCTTAACACTCAACAAGAGGAGTACCTGCGAAGCTTTGCAGATCACTATGGAGCCGGCTTCAAGGTAATATTTCTTCCAATGCGACAGATTTGTGGGTTTGTTAACGGAAGCGGGACACGTGTGTCAGGACCTGTGCTGATTTCCAACGTTTGCCAACCATTTTTTGAAGCTCTGACCAAGGACAATGGGCTACAATCGCACCTGGACAAACGTATGATCATACGATCTTAACACTGTTAGTAATATCAATATGAATGAAGAGAATACTTTATTATAATGCAGGTTAATGTTTAAAGAGAATATCGCATTCCTTAGTAGCCGGAATTGGGAATGTCTAAAAGCCGGACCGGACCGAGCCAAAAATGTTACTGACTATTTACCCCATTGTCGACAACCATGCCTACAATTTAATAATGCAACATGCACACATGACAAAAATGAAGAATCGCAACCCACAGACGAACAGCAAAATGATGTTATTGCGACTAAATCAGTGTTAAATCACTTAGAACTCAAGAAGGTAGGCGGCCCGTGAACATGGTTAACCAAGGTTACGTGTAAAAGTGAAATCGTTAAACGAAACAGGATATGAAAACTTCAATCTATCCTGATAAATATTTCCGTTTGCCAGAAAAGCTTTCACGTCTATATCCAAGCAAATACCTCTTTAGAAGGTGACTGTGACATCGTATTTAAAGAATGCGCACTAGTAAAAATCAAGAACTTTTCCCCACACACTCAACATTATCTTCGTCATAATGGTTCGTTCCGACTGGACTGAGTGGTTACAAGCATCTGAAACGTCATAGATATGTAATCATAATTGTTTACAGATGTAGAACAGTACTACATCTACATAAACACCACTTTATTGTGACTAGGTCTGAAGTAGTGAAAGCAAACAAGTTGATCGAAGTGAAGTCTATTTTCACATACTCTCACCATACTTTGTATTATCGGTGTTCGGTCCGACATGGCCCGGGCCAATAAAAGCAGCGTAACCGCCATAGATATTTCATGAACGGTATTTACATTTATAGCCTTGTGTTATATGTAATTAAATACCACATTGTAACGTGACAATGCATCAGAAACAAAGATAACAGATCCGTTAAAGTGAAGCCCTTCTCCCACTACATCGCCAACACTGACTCAATCAAAAGTGTTTACTCTGTTTGGTATGGTACCCGTGAAGATCCGGGTTAAAATATTGATCTTCAGTAACCCATGCTTGTCGTAAGAGACGACTAACAGGATCGGGTGGTCAGGCTCGCTGACTTGGTTGACACATGTCATCGGTTCCCGTTTGCGCAGATCGATGCTCATGTCGTTGCTCACTGGATTGTCTGGTCCAGACTCGATTATTTACAGATCGCCGCCATATAGCTGGAATATTGCTGAGTGCGGCGTAAAACTACACTCACTCACTCACTGTTTGGTTTGACTTGACCCGGGTTGTCAAACCCAACTTAACAACTTAAACGTCATAGATGTATCCTGGGTTGTGTTTGAATAGCATTAAATCGCCCTAATTATAGCGCCTCACAGCTCAGTGAATTAACCAAACACGTTAATCGATTTGTTCAACATATCTCTGTATATCCACAGGGAGGCACATACATAATATATCTCCCGTGTCCATTACCTTTGATGGATCTAACACCAAAAAAGTAATGTACAAACAGCGAACGTATATTTCTAAATTTCCAAAATATGGCGCTGTGGAAATGTAAATATACTGACACTGCCCAACGTCGTAATTTTCATAGCGATATATTTTGAGAAGATCAGGTGGGACAGTGGTGATCGATCCTGACTTGGGCCACGCAGAGTTTGTCGTAATAAGAGGTGTATTGACCGATACACAACACAAATTTGATCGTTTGCAATTATACACGAGACAATAAGGCTGGATGCAGGTGTAATTGGCTATTAATTTAATTAGACCAGGCCAAGTCAGACTGAACACTTAGCTTCACGTACAGCGGTATGTATGCTTAAAATAACATGATAAAGTGGTAATTATTCAAGTATAAAACTATTCTGTAAATTTAAACACAATTCAGGAGACCTCGGTTACGTTTAAGTTGCTGTTTAACTAGCAGCCTGGGCCAACCCTAACCGAACAATTGTGGTTTTAATACTAAGATCATAATATAAAGAGGGCTTCACTTTGCCTAGATTACCACGCTTGGAGACTTTGTACAGTGAAATGTAAGAAGATATATTGCAAACTTCATGGATTTATGTGATGTTTAAGTCAATTTAAGCAGCTATGGAAAACTACTCGTTTCAAGTCGAGTAACGCCAGTCCGAGGTCTGTCATGGGGTTAATTCATAAAGAACGTTTCCCTGTTCATATGTTGTGTTATGTCTTGCACGACAGTTGCATGTGGAATGTTTACACGTCTCCATGCCTACAGACAGTATAAGTTAACTTATCACCTCACTGTTCATATGTTGTGTTATGTCTTGCACGACAGTTGCATGTGGAATGTTTACACGTCTCCATGCCTACAGACAGTATAAGTTAACTTATCACCTCACTGTTCATATGTTGTGTTATGTCTTGCACGACAGTTGCATGTGGGATGTTTACACGTCTCCATGACTACAGACAGTATAAGTTAACTTATCACCTCACTGTTCATATGTTGTGTTATGTCTTGCACGACAGTTGCATGTGGAATGTTTACACGTCTCCATGCCTACAGACAGTATAAGTTAACTTATCACCTCACTGTTTATATGTTCTGTTATGTCTTGCACGACAGTTGCATGTGGAATGTTTACACGTCTCCATGCCTACAGACAGTATAAGTTAACTTATCACCTCACTGTTCATCTGTTGTGTTATGTCTTGCACGACAGTTGCATGTGGAATGTTTACACGTCTCCATGCCTACAGACAGTATAAGTTAACTTATCACCTCACTGTTCATATGTTCTGTTATGTCTTGCACGACAGTTGCATGTGGAATGTTTACACGTCTCCATGACTACAGACAGTATAAGTTAACTTATCACCTCACTGTTCATATGTTCTGTTATGTCTTGCACGACAGTTGCATGTGGAATGTTTACACGTCTCCATGCCTACAGACAGTATAAGTTAACTTATCACATCACTGTTGATATGTTCTGTTATGTCTTGCACGACAGTTGCATGTGGAATGTTTACACGTCTCCATGCCTACAGACAGTATAAGTTAACTTATCACCTCACTGTTCATCTGTTGTGTTATGTCTTGCACGACAGTTGCATGTGGAATGTTTACACGTCTCCATGCCTACAGACAGTATAAGTTAACTTATCACCTCACTGTTCATATGTTGTGTTATGTCTTGCACGACAGTTGCATGTGGAATGTTTACACGTCTCCATGCCTACAGACAGTATAAGTTAACTTATCACCTCACTGTTCATATGTAGTGTTATGTCTTGCACGACAGTTGCATGTGGAATGTTTACACGTCTCCATGCCTACAGACAGTATAAGTTAACGTATCACCTCACTGTTCATATGTTGTGTTATGTCTTGCAGGACAGTTGCATGTGGAATGTTTACACGTCTCCATGCCTACAGACAGTATAAGTTAACTTATCACCTCACTGTTCATATGTTGTGTTATGTCTTGCACGACAGTTGCATGTGGAATGTTTACACGTCTCCATGACTACAGACAGTATAAGTTAACGTATCACCTCACTGTTCATATGTTGTGTTATGTCTTGCACGACAGTTGCATGTGGATGTTTACACGTCTCCATGCCTACAGACAGTATAAGTTAACTTATCACCTCACTGTTCATATGTTGTGTTATGTCTTGCACGACAGTTGCATGTGGAATGTTTACACGTCTCCATGACTACAGACAGTAGAAGTTAACGTATCACCTCACTGTTCATATGTTCTGTTATGTCTTGCACGACAGTTGCATGTGGAATGTTTACACGTCTCCATGCCTACAGACAGTATAAGTTAACTTATCACCTCACTGTTCATATGTAGTGTTATGTCTTGCACGACAGTTGCATGTGGAATGTTTACACGTCTCCATGCCTACAGACAGTATAAGTTAACGTATCACCTCACTGTTCATATGTTCTGTTATGTCTTGCACGACAGTTGCATGTGGAATGTTTACACGTCTCCATGACTACAGACAGTATAAGTTAACTTATCATGTCCTCACTGTGGAATATATGTTCCATGCCTGTTATGTCTTGCACGACAGTTGTTTATATGTGGAATGTTTACACGTCTCCATGCCTACAGACAGTATAAGTTAACGTATCACCTCACTGTTCATATGTTGTGTTATGTCTTGCACGACAGTTGCATGTGGAATGTTTACACGTCTCCATGCCTACAGACAGTATAAGTTAACTTATCACCTCACTGTTCATATGTTGTGTTATGTCTTGCACGACAGTTGCATGTGGAATGTTTACACGTCTCCATGACTACAGACAGTATAAGTTAACGTATCACCTCACTGTTCATATGTTGTGTTATGTCTTGCACGACAGTTGCATGTGGAATGTTTACACGTCTCCATGCCTACAGACAGTATAAGTTAACTTATCACCTCACTGTTCATATGTTGTGTTATGTCTTGCACGACAGTTGCATGTGGAATGTTTACACGTCTCCATGCCTACAGACAGTATAAGTTAACGTATCACCTCACTGTTCATATGTTCTGTTGTGTCTTGCACGACAGTTGCATGTGGAATGTTTACACGTCTCCATGCCTACAGACAGTATAAGTTAACTTATCACCTCACTGTTCATATGTTGTGTTATGTCTTGCACGACAGTTGCATGTGGAATGTTTACACGTCTCCATGACTACAGACAGTAGAAGTTAACGTATCACCTCACTGTTCATATGTTCTGTTGTGTCTTGCACGACAGTTGCATGTGGAATGTTTACACGTCTCCATGACTACAGACAGTATAAGTTAACTTATCACTCACTGTTTATATGTTCTGTTATGTCTTGCACGACAGTTGCATGTGGAATGTTTACACGTCTCCATGCCTACAGACAGTATAAGTTAACTTATCACCTCACTGTTCATATGTTGTGTTATGTCTTGCACGACAGTTGCATGTGGAATGTTTACACGTCTCCATGCCTACAGACAGTATAAGTTAACTTATCACCTCACTGTTCATATGTTGTGTTATCTTTTGCACGACAGTTGCATTTTGAATGTTTACACGTCTCCATGCCTACAGACAGTAATAGTTAACGTATCACCTCACTGTTCATATGTTGTGTTATGTCTTGCACGACAGTTGCATGTGGAATGGAATGTTTACACGTCTCCATGCCTACAGACAGTATAAGTTAACGTATCACCTCACTGTTCATATGTTCTGTTATGTCTTGCAGGACAGTTGCATGTGGAATGTTTACACGTCTCCATGCCTACAGGCAGTATAAGTTAACTTATCACCTCACTGTTCATATGTTGTGTTATGTCTTGCACGACAGTTGCATGTGGAATGTTTACACGTCTCCATGCCTACAGGCAGTATAAGTTAACTTATCACCTCACTGTTCATATGTTGTGTTATGTCTTGCACGACAGTTGCATGTGGAATGTTTACACGTCTCCATGACTACAGACAGTATAAGTTAACGTATCACCTCACTGTTCATATGTTGTGTTATGTCTTGCACGACAGTTGCATGTGGGATGTTTACACGTCTCCATGCCTACAGACAGTATAAGTTAACTTATCACCTCACCGTTCATATGTTGTGTTATGTCTTGCACGACAGTTGCATGTGGAATGTTTACACGTCTCCATGACTACAGACAGTAGAAGTTAACGTATCACCTCACTGTTCATATGTTCTGTTGTGTCTTGCACGACAGTTGCATGTGGAATGTTTACACGTCTCCATGCCTACAGACAGTATAAGTTAACTTATCACCTCACCGTTCATATGTTGTGTTATGTCTTGCACGACAGTTGCATGTGGAATGTTTACACGTCTCCATGACTACAGACAGTAGAAGTTAACGTATCACCTCACTGTTCATATGTTCTGTTGTGTCTTGCACGACAGTTGCATGTGGAATGTTTACACGTCTCCATGACTACAGACAGTATAAGTTAACTTATCACTCACTGTTTATATGTTCTGTTATGTCTTGCACGACAGTTGCATGTGGAATGTATACACGTCTCCATGCCTACAGACAGTATAAGTTAACTTATCACCTCACTGTTCATATGTTGTGTTATGTCTTGCACGACAGTTGCATGTGGAATGTTTACACGTCTCCATGCCTACAGACAGTATAAGTTAACTTATCACCTCACTGTTCATATGTTGTGTTATCTTTTGCACGACAGTTGCATTTTGAATGTTTACACGTCTCCATGCCTACAGACAGTAATAGTTAACGTATCACCTCACTGTTCATATGTTGTGTTATGTCTTGCACGACAGTTGCATGTGGAATGTTTACACGTCTCCATGCCTACAGACAGTATAAGTTAACGTATCACCTCACTGTTCATATGTTCTGTTATGTCTTGCAGGACAGTTGCATGTGGAATGTTTACACGTCTCCATGCCTACAGGCAGTATAAGTTAACTTATCACCTCACTGTTCATATGTTGTGTTATGTCTTGCACGACAGTTGCATGTGGAATGTTTACACGTCTCCATGCCTACAGACAGTATAAGTTAACGTATCACCTCACTGTTCATATGTTGTGTTATGTCTTGCACGACAGTTGCATGTGGAATGTTTACACGTCTTCATGACTACAGACAGTATAAGTTAACTTATCACGTCTCCATGCCTACACTGTTCATATGTTCTGTTATGTCTTGCACGACAGTTGCATGTGGAATGTTTACACGTCTCCATGCCTACAGACAGTATAAGTTAACGTATCACCTCACTGTTCATATGTTGTGTTATGTCTTGCACGACAGTTGCATGTGGAATGTTTACACGTCTCCATGCCTACAGGCAGTATAAGTTAACGTATCACCTCACTGTTGATATGTTCTGTTATGTCTTGCACGACAGTTGCATGTGGAATGTTTACACGTCTCCATGCCTACAGACAGTATAAGTAAACGTATCACCTCACTGTTCATATGTTGTGTTATGTCTTGCACGACAGTTGCATGTGGAATGTTTACACGTCTCCATGCCTACAGGCAGTATAAGTTAACTTATCACCTCACTATTTAATATGTCTAAATATATTCTGTCACATACACCCTTAACCCTGAACGTATTTCCCAAGGTTGCCATACACCCCTACGGACTGCCGCCAATCCTGTCTGAGAAAGGAATTTCAGTTGGGCCCGGGTTCCACACCTCGCTGGCCGTCGACATCTCTAAGGTACACTGACGATATTGGGATTACAATCATGTTTGTCTGTAGTGGCTACCTCCTTGATGACGGGTATTAGCCCGGACACTTGTTACAAGCAATAACAAAAGTTGTTGTCCAGAGTGAGTGAGTGAGTGAGTTTAGTTTTACGCCGTATTTTTCCAGCTATATCGCGGCGGCCTGAAAATAATCGAGTCTGGACCAGACAATACAGTGATCAACAGCATGAAAATCGATCTATGCAATTTGGAAACGACGACATGTCTCAACCAAATCAGCGACCACCCGATCCCGTTACAGTCGCCTCTTACGACTGAAGATCAATTCTAACCCGGATCTTCACGGGTTTGTTGTCCAGAGCCCTGTTGTCACATTGGTGTGTCTTCTATCACAAGCAGTTATCGTGGTGATATAGACGTTAACCTGATGACATGAAATCAACATTATCGTTGATTCCCTGAACATATTGAAGTAAGTTGCCTGATGATATTCTTAACCACGATAATATTGCAGTCTAACGAGAACTTAGTAATTGTGTGTTGTTTTCAGTTGAAGAATGCAGATGCGTCCGTGAGCAAGTGCGGGTCTAAGGAGCTGAAGCACTACAGGGACACGCCCTACTCCATTCAGGCGTGCAGGCAGGAGTGCCTCAGTGACTACGTGGTCAGCAAGTGTGGGTGCAAGGAAGTGTTTATGAAGCGGAATGACACCCTTATCTGTGACCCACCGGAGTTGTTCTCGTGTGTGTACCCGAGTATTGACGATTACGTGAAGAACGTGAACAAGGACTGCGAGAAGAGCTGCCCCGGCCCTTGCTCAACCTTCATCTACGACACCACTCCATCAGCAGCGCCCCTATCCGAATACTTCCTCGAGGAATACTCCCACTACAAGGGACACAACGCAAGCTACTGGAGGAAGAACTTCGTTGAGCTGGAGATCTATTTGACGTCAATGTCGTATCAGTACATTGAGAAGCGTTTGTCCTATACCCTGCTGGATCTGCTGTGCGACGTAGGGGGTGCCCTCGGACTGCTTCTGGGCGCAAGCTTCCTCACAGTCCTGGAGATCATCGACTTCGTCTTCGTGCGGACAAGAGGATGTCGTCGGGGGAGTACACAAACTAAAATGCACGTAAACAAGGTCCACGTGAAAGGCGACCCACGCTACTGATTGGTTTGGATCCCAGATACGATCGGTTGGATCTGTCTGTGGGTGTCGCTCTGGAGAATGGAACGTATTACCTTTTACACGAGTATTGCAGGTACCTGGACTCTTGGTGAACGCGCTCATTTGTTCCCAGACTACTTTCAAAAGGAAAAAAACAGTTTGTCTTTGGTTTTCCAAACAATGTTCGCTGGAGAAGATGGATGTCTAGAAGAAATGATGGACAAAATACCCTGTCGCGAACCAAAGTCCTCCGAATGGTATGACACCCGTACCGCTCTAACTGAAATGATTTAGCCAACTGTGCGTCACATGGAAACCGTCAAATTTCACACTATGGGACTGTTCATATTTTATGGCGAGTGGGAGGATGGCTAGTGGGAGGGGTGATGATGACTTTCAAGCAGAAGCATGTACAATGTGAATGACCACCCCACCCCCTACCAAAATATGTACAAAGTAAGTGACCCTCTGCATGCCATGTACAAAGTCAATGCCCCCTCCCATAATTTTTAAGTATTCTTTCTTAATATTTTTATGTACAAAATTGCTGACTCCCCTACTACATGTGTACAAATTTGATGACCCCACTACCTCCCTAGAACAAAATTGGTGACCCCCCTTAAAATCGTCAAACCCTCCCACCCCACCAACCATAAATTATGAACGATCCCTATCCAGTCAAACCTGAATTTTGTACATAACAGTAAATATTTTCTTGTAAGTGACTGTGCTTAAACAGTCATATAACTATTTGTACATCTTTACATTCCTGTAGTTTTTGTTGTGGTTGCTTACTTTTATGTTGTTGTTTGGGTTGTTTTACTAAATTTGATCTTCAGTAGCAAATTATTGGGAGGCTTCTACAACACATTGTTTGTGTCCTAGATCCATCATTACAGTCAAATTAGAAAGTCCTTTGAAAGTCCCCGATATTTGTTGAAGCGCCAGGAAAATCCCATGCCAAATTGTTTTAAGTTTACCTGTCAGCAACACCACCGTCAGTTGATTGTAGGAACTATTTGCTACGGTATTTTGCGTAACACGGTTCACATTGAGTTCCCCCAATTTCACCACTCCGTTGCTGGCCCAGTTATAGGTTCTGCACAGCAGACCAAGTTACACGTCAAAATGTTTCAAGACATTAGTACAAACATGTTTTTAGTACTTGGTTGTACATGAAGAACTGTTCTAACAAGGCCTATAAATAGCAGGGTCATCAGTGTGTTAGTGGGTTATGTGTCTCGCCGCTCGTAGTTCTCTAGATGAAACCCGGATATCGAACCAATATCTTCAGCGTGACAGTCAACGCTTTCATTATACCAACGCTACAATACGTGACAATACAGGAGTATATATCACGACGGCAAGATAATGTCACGAAACATTGGCTTTGTGTAGACAGTTGATTACCCAGAATCCACGAATTAACCGGAAAAGTGACGTCTGTAGATTCATCGAAATTTTCCAGCTTATTGCTCTCTGATGGTCCTGAATTGTCAACTTTCCAAAAGGGTTTTAATGCTGACGTCGGGTGTAACTTATAGTTCATGTACAATGACATACATTAGTTTGTTTCTCTGCTGTTCTTTGTTTAAATGATCAGTGTTCGAACATTGTTCAGTATGAGATCCACTCCGTCCCCACAGTCCACTGGTAAAGGCCTATGGGGAAGTATACCTGTTAAGCCTGTCGCACGAGCACCATGTGCAGCAACAGGAACAGTAAACTTGGCTTGTGGCAAATAAAGGTGCTGATATATGTGGGTGTTGGGACACACTCATCTCACTGATCTCCAATTGTTGCACACTCACCTCCAATTGTTGTACAGATACATGTGGGTGTTGGGACACACTGGGACACATCTCCAATTGTTGTTGAGGTGTTGGGTACAGATACATGTGGGTGTTGGGACACACTCATCTCCAATTGTTGAGGTACAGATACATGTGGGTGTTGGGTACAGATACATGTGGGTGTTGGGACACACTCATCTCCAATTGTTGAGGTACACATACATGTGGGTGTTGGGACACACTCATCTCCTATTGTTGAGGTACACATACATGTGGGTGTTGGGGCACACTCACCTCCAATTGTTGAGGTACAGATACATGTAGGTGTTGGGACACACTCATCTCCAATGGTTTAGGTACACATACATGTGGGTGTTGGGGCTCCAATTGTTGAGGCATACATATATGCAGGTGTTGGGACACACTTAACTCCAATTGTTGAGGCATACATATATGTAGGTGTTGGGACACACTTAACTCCAATTGTTGAGGTACAGATATATGTGGGTGTTGGGACACGCTGATCTCCAATTGTTGAGGTACAGATACATGTAGGTGTTGGGACACACTGATCTCCAATTGTTGAGGCATACATATATCTAGGTGTTGGGACACCACTGAACTCCAATTGTTGAAGTATACATATATGTAGGTGTTGGGACACACTTATCTCCAATTGTTGAGGTACACATACATGTGGGTGTTGGGACACACTCATCTCCAATTGTTGAGGTACAGATACATGTGGGTGTTGGGACACACTCATCTCCAATTGTTGAGGTACACATACATGTGGGTGTTGGGACACACTCATCTCCAATTGTTGAGGTACACATACATGTGGGTGTTGGGACACACTCATCTCCAATTGTTGAGGTACACATACATGTGGGTGTTGGGACACACTCATCTCCAATTGATGAGGTACACATACATGTGGGTGTTGGGACACGCTGATCTCCAATTGTTGAGGTACAGATACATGTAGGTGTTGGGACACACTCATCTCCAATTGTTGAGGTACACATACATGTAGGTGTTGGGACACGCTGATCTCCAATTGATGAGGTACAGATACATGTGGGTGTTGGGACACGCTGATCTCCAATTGTTGAGGTACAGATACATGTAGGTGTTGGGACACACTCATCTCAAATTGTTGAGGCATACATATATCTAGGTGTTGGGACACACTTAACTCCAATTGTTGAGGCATACATATATCTAGGTGTTGGGACACACTTAACTCCAATTGTTGAGGCATACATATATCTAGGTGTTGGGACACACTTAACTCCAATTGGTGAGGCATACATATATGTAGGTGTTGGGACACACTTAACTCCAATTGGTGAGGTACATATAAACATGTATGTGGGTGTTGGGGCACACTCATCTCAAATTGTTGGGGCATACATATATGCAGGTGTTAGGACACACTTAACTCCAATTGTTGAGGTACAGATATATGTGGATGTTGGGACACACTGATCTCCAGTTTTTGAGGTACATATATACATGTATGTGGGTGCTGATTGTCGGATTTGCTGCAGTATCCAAACAATGGCGAATTGTTCATAACAAAACATTGTTGGCAGATAGTTTACACGCACATAAGGACATTTTCGCACATTTTATTTTCTCATTAGACGGTGATCCGAAATAATACGACGTGTGAATACATACCTACAAGTTGCAATCTTGTACAGGATTGGCAGAATGATAGTAATTCAACATTGCAAATACAAAAACTTTCTTGTCATCTCACAATATGAGTTATCTCCAATTTCCCTTCCTTGCTTATTTTGTTGGCTCCAATACGCTTTAAGTAAGCATTAGCTTGTTGCGATGTCTATAAAGGTATATATTTGCATACACGTATATTTATGCTGCAACATAGCATACAGAAACACTATTCAACATTCAAGAAATTCTAAAGTTAACTCGAAACAAGGAATTTATACGCCGCCTTTCGAAATATCATTATTTGGTTTAAATATATCACATTCTGTACTCATAAATATACCCCCTTTAGTAATTAAAGGAAACAATTCAATGACTTTGGTTGTACAAACAGATACATAAACGAATATCAACAAAGTGACTATGGGTATATTTGCTATCATTGCATTAAAAGTCAATAATATTGTGTTATTAGTTATGTTATCAATACAGTTCAGCATTGTTGTGTTTATAAATTACTCTCTGTAATAAAACAAGTAATGAAACCCTCGTAATTTGTCTGTTTGAATTCGTTACGGTATATGCATGAGCCGAATGAAATTCAACAATTATGCAGTGAGATAGCTTCATGACTGAATATAACTGGTAATCAATTTTGATATGATCATTCTGCACAATGACGCTACGAACAACAGCAACACCAGTGCATTGGCCATAGAAACTGTACTCAAGACATTGTCCGACTGCCGTTCACATCACCGGGGCAGCAGATGCACCATACAGTACTCCAACGCTCACTTGTTTTCTCCTGCCAAAGGACAACCTTCACCAAGAGGATTCACTCGGGAACCGACTAAAACCACGACATGTTCACTGAGGCCTGTCAGGTGATGCGCTGCCGGCGAGGTAGGTCGATGACGGTCCGGAAGGTGGTCATCTCGGCCGTCCCTCCATCCGGGTACACCTGGATGTCACCATCACCCATACCCACGTAGACGGTGCCCTTCCTGTCGGTGCAGATGCTGAACGGCTCGCTGAATATGTTGCTGGTTTCGATCACGGGGCCATGGCACCATCCACGGTGAGTGAACAGAAACACACACCCCTTGAGTCTGTCCACGAGGAAAACATCTCCGTTGAAGCAGGCCACACCTACCGGGTCTTCAAGAAAGTTTTCTCCTTTGTGTGGTTGATGACGCCACTGAATATCTCCTTTTTGAGATATGCATATTAACGCGTGCATTGAATGATCTGAGATGAGGATGTCACCACTTGGTGTAGAGCCCAGGAAGCTTGGAGTGATGCATATTGCATTACCAAACTGATCATGTTGGAATGATTTTAAAACAGATCCTTTCATATCAATGAAGTCAATTGAAGCAGGTTCCTCACGAAGTGTGCCCACAGCTAACACATTTTTCATCTTGGGAACGGATGTTATACCGGCATACATCTTCTCTGTGGGGATGACTTGGACAACCGTCATACGTTGAAGGGAGATAATCTGTATCTCTCGCGACAGGGGAAACGTTAGGGCAACTTTCCCGTTTGTCAGTTTACAAAGGCGATAGGGAACCCCGTCCATCCTCAGTTCATCGTTTCCAAACTGTGAAAATGTCTTGAGGAGTTCATTCTTATAATCAACAACCACAAGTACCTCGGAACCATTCAGAGTGATCATTGTGATGTCAGTGGGAAAGGGGACCACTCTCTGAAGCTGGTTCTACAGGAGGCTGTCCTCAACAACGATCTACTGGAGGTGGATCGTTCAGACTCGCTGCTTATCGACCTAACAGACAACAGTATTGGAATGTTGGAGCTCCGCTTTGAATTCAAGCCTCCCATCACAAACTTCAACCATTCAGTGAGCATAATTTGTAGAACTCGCAGTCATATAGTGCTCTATCCTTATACCGTGTTCGTTGTATGGCGTGTGGCTGCGTCAGGCCTCTTGGTCGTTTTTTACCTGCTCGGTATATCTGATTACACTGTTGGCAGACATAAATACTCCCAGACCTGTCTGTTTGCACCTCCAGCTTATTGCTACTTTGTTATGATTTGGTTCTACACTCGCAACTTGTGAGTCGAAGCAGATCAATGGCTTGTACGATAATCCACCAAATGTTCATGCGTTTCTTATCCTGTTCCTGGTTGTATATCCTGGTTCCAAGTCAGACGTGGCTTGTAGACGGTAACCAAGGCTTGGTGTTGGCGTGCGGCGGTATCACTTACATGGGAACGACCACGTCCGGAGTGGACGTAATTCACTTACACGGAACGACGTCAGCCATAATGAAAAATGCTAAGTCAGACTTCCACGAAACACTTTTTGGGCACAGGAGCAGCGCCGCTCAGTTTGGTGGCTTCTACATAAAGTGGTGAATCTTAACACACAAAGATTAAACGAAGCAACATGGCATCCAGCTGAGCTGATTGACTAAAGATTGTGTTGCAGTAGATAAACTGACTATTAACCTTTGAACATACACCGTGCTGATAAAACACCGACACCCGTGTGTTATCAGCAGAGTTTAATATACATTGTCCCTTACATACAGCCCTGTTACGCAATAAAACATATGTAAGTGGGAGAGTCAGGACGTCCTAAATAGAGGCTAATTTTTCTAACAGGATCAAATCTATTTCCAAGAACAGGTTGACATGGTTTTTCTGAGTGTAAAGATAACTTGATGATACAGTTATGACACTTTCACTGCAGCATGAACTACTTGATAGCTCGGAGTTGCTCCACATTTACTGTACATACATATCGTACATTGATTTATTATCGTTATCACGTGGCGAGTGCACATGCCTACAGTCATACATACATGGCCCACTACCGGTGTCAAGTACATTCTCTACAATGCCATAGCGCAGCAGTTTACGTAAACCACAGTCAAGGCCAGGTATGTCCTCCAGAGAATGCTTAACACAAAGACAGTTGGTTAAATTCTAAGAAAGGAATACACAGCCGGTAACATCTTAACGTGCTCTCTATTCATCGTATTCATTATTCTGTGATGTTCGTACAACTGAGAAAACCTTGAAATTTTCACACTGAATGTGATTTCTTTAGTATTAAGATGGCGCCCCCGATGTTATGTTTGCGGTACAAGGGACATCACTGTGAACAAAACATCGAGTAAAGAAGTGCAATGTACACGATGCATAGCTAAGTACTACAATGTATTTGAGGCAGTCAGAGTTACTGTGTAAACAAATACAATGCGGCAACCGAAGACCTCGTGTAAAGTAACACAATCGAATTTGCAAGATATAATTCGTAATTTGCCGTAAGGTCATACTTCACCACACAATTACTAGATCGTGATGTCTGCAACAAACAGGGCATGAGTCGCTTGATTATTTCCTTCCATCCATTCTTTTCATCTAACCTTACATTTACTTGTCAGTCAGTTCTTGCACACATAGATCGCACGCTAACTTATTTGTCAGATCTCACGTTAACGTACTTGTCAGTCAGTTCTTGCACACATAGATCGCACGCTAACTTATTTGTCAGATCTCACGTTTACGTACTTGTCAGTCAGTTCTTGCACACATAGATCTCACGTTAACTTACTTATCAGTCAGTTTTGCACACATAGATCTCACGTTAACTTACTTGTGAGATCTCAAGTTAACTTACATGACAGATCTCACGTTACATTTACTTGTCAGTGACATTGTGAACACATGAATCTCACGATGTATTTCCCGTGAATCAAAAGTTCGATTTCTTTCTTTCATCATGTTATGGGTTATATGGATCTAAAGTTAGATTTACCTCTTCGTCCTATTATCTACAGATGGATCTAATTCGGCATTTGCTATCAACGCAACTGGTACACTTCGGTCGTTTAGTCTGTTATTGTACATTTGAGTCCCCTTTTCACACTTACTAGTATGTTGTAACATTTGGATTGATCGTTCACTGTTTGTATGTGTAGCACCATGTACACAAGCAAGGGACAAAGCAAGGTATGTTTCTTATGTTACTGTTTCTTCAACTGCGGCTATGGCACCATGGGACTTCTCCCTCACATGCACAACCGACGTAGTGGTAACGGTATACCTCGCCGACGTAGTGGTAACAGCATACCTCGTTGACGGATCCGTGAGTCCATGACGACGCAACATATCGAATGCCTCCACCTTTCTCCTCGGAGTCCAGAAAAACACCATGCAGTCATGTACACACACGGCAGCCATTGCACACAATGTGACTAGAAGGGCTCCGCAACCAATCAGAATCGACGATATTCTACTGTCATGTGCAGTGGAACGCTTCCGGAAATATGAACTTAAATTTTTGTAGCTGAGCAACAAATAGCTGGAAACATTCCTTCTTGAAGACAGTTGTTGATTGATAACTAAAGTAGTCGAAGATAATGTACAGGTGGACGATGCTGGAGTGGCAGTGGTTGTTGGGATGACGCTTGTTGAAGTTGGAGACGGGGATGTTGATGTTGGACCCGGTGTTGTTGTCGTATATTCTGCGATGGAAATGTTAAGGTCAGTAAACTACGTTGGTGTAACATAAAAGCTTGGAGTATCTTGTTGCTGCCTGACCCATTATCGACTGCAAGGCGGCGGGGTAGGCTTGTAAAGACTTGGGTACAATGTATGAAGGTCATTTCTGGTGTATTGCTAACATACTCAATATTGACAGCCCAATTTATTGAGTCACATTACACCAGTCACTGCGTGGTTAGTTCACAAACAATATTATGCTTGAGGTTACCTTCGTTGCAAAGTATTCCAAAATATCCTTCCCCACAGGAACAGTTGAACGAGTTGATGCCATCGATACAGACGCCGTTGTGGAGGCAGGGCTCAGACAAGCATTCATCGATATCTGGTGAACATCATATACATAGTGAAATATTGTACATACAAATTCGTTAATCTGGATAATGAACATTTAGTTATTCCATGACTTATCAACTTACGTTGACAAAAGTAAAGCAAGTCGCACAAACAGAAATATGACATATACTGACAGACGAAGACATGTGATATGACATGCACTGACAGACGAAGACATGTGATATGACATATACTGACAGACGAAGACATGTGATATGACATATACTGACAGACGAAGACATGTGATGTACTGAAAGACGAAGACATGTGATAAACAGACAGAATGAGCCATGGGATATCACATATACTAGGTGAGGTGAGGTGAAATTGGGTTTAACGTCGTACTTGATCATATTTCGGTCATATGACGACGTGCATGCGTGTGATTTATTCTCGGAGTGGCCCTTCCCACAGTGGCCCCTGAGTTTTCACGCCTTGTTAACAACTCATCCCAGAGTGGCCCCCGAACACTCATGTGTTCCCACACTGGCCCCTCTTAATCCAATCAGCTTAATTACCAACTGTGTTGGACTAAATCTTGGGGCAGATTTTGAAGGTACCATCCATGGAAACAGTATCGGTCTTGCACAGCCTTTGCAGGTTATCAACAGTAGCAAATACCAAAATTCTACTACTTTCTTGACGATCGTCTATGAGCAGAAAGTCATCACCAGAAAAAGTCTGTCCATTCACCATCTAGCTGGATATCTGTTGCTGCTTGCGGTGTCTGTGGAACTTTCTTGGCACGTTGTCTGAACAAACTCGACTTCACACAGTGAAAGAGCTTAAGATTTGAAGCAACTTCTAGTGATGTTGCGTCTGCTGAACCTGTCAGTGGTTTCTTTCTTTTCTTCTTCTATGAAGACAACAATCAACATCAGTAGTGATCGTTGACTGACAACCTGTCTGAGGACAACGCCAAGCTACTGTGCCATTCTTGTTTTCCTTCTTCTTGTTATACCTGAAACCATCCATCAAATATCAAGTCCATTTTGTCTACCAGGAACAATCTCTCCCTTCAGAGCCATGGCTGATATTAACTCTTTGTTTTGACAACTAACGAGTTGTCCCACACTGCCCCCCACGTTCACACCTTCTTAACGAGTTGTCCCGTAGTGGCCCCTGAATTTGGTTGTTACGTAATAGACAGAGGGGCCACTCTGGGAATAAACCATGCGTGTGTATGTGTGGCTGCTTGTACTAGCCCAGACTTAAGCTGGTTTTATCGTGCTAGCCCGCTGGGATACCATACTGCAGTTAAGAATACCCCACTCAGACACGTTATACTGACTCCAAGCCGACCAGTCCTTGATGTACCCATTACTGCCGAGCGCCAGGCAGGGACCAACAAGTATCATATTTTAACGTCTTTTGGTATGACGCGGCCGTGGATCGAACCCGCGATCTTCCGCTCTCCGGGCGGACGCTCTAACCACTACACCACGGAGGCGGTCTGATATATACTAACAGACGAAGACACGTGGTATGTGATGTACAGACAGACAAAGACGTGAATTATGTGATATACTGACAGACGAGGAAATGATATATGTGATGTACTGACAGAGGAAAACATGTGATATATGATGTACTGACAGACGAAGACATGAAATATGACATATAACATATACTGACAGACGAAGACATGAGATATGTGATGTACTGACAGACGAAGAGCCTTTGCGAAGTTTGGATTTTATCCATGGCTAGTTGGTCCTGAACCACAATGGACCGGATCTCTGGTTCCGACAGCAGGATCTGGATCCACGATGTCCAGCACAGCCGTCAACCATTGGAAAGAGGACACGATAAAAATATTCGAACACTGAACAGACCAAGGCATCTATCTACCCAGTATATCCACAACAGTCCAATAGACACATTCATTGTATTTCGCAAGTGAACACTTATACTGTTGTATTGTCACTCAACGCCTTCGTCTCAATATGTTGGGCTTCTCGTTTCACAGTTACACGTGTACATGACTCCCATTCCCTATCAAGGGACAGAGTTGGCTAAATCGTTAGCGATGCTATTCGCAGTCATGGCTGCTTCCCCTTTGGAGTACCACAAACCAGATATCGTGGGTTGGAATCCCGATTCGCTCAGATTATGTTTTTCAGGCTTGTCAGCACTTAGGTTGTGGGCTTCATGGAAGTTCTGAACGTCTATTACCTGTCATAAATGAAGTATCAAAACGGCCTTCAACCATACTCACACCAGCACTCACAGTGCCCCCAGGAAACAATAGGCTATTCGTGTCTAAACATCAGCTTGGTATCTTAGTGGGTAACATCTCTATAACCGGCATGCGTCCGTAAAAGTAAAGACAATCACACACCGATGTGCATGTGAGACATTATATTCTTCTGCTTCAGGGTCATTCTTATAGTTTAAAGTCATAGAAAATCAATGTTTAAACTTGGACATACAACTTTATAAGTTTTTAGATAGTTTTGTGTCAATTAAACACTTACCAATTTTTAGAACAACCACAAAACGCTTATAACAACCAAGTATATATTTTCAGTTTTGTGCTGAGGTTTCAATTTCCAGTGCTCACCAGCACCTTCTTCCTGGTATGTATACCTGATCAAGGGGGAGTCGAAGGAGGTCTGTAGTCAGCATGCCGTGCAGATACACACAACCAGGAAGTGCTCTACAGCCGGCTATCTCGCCACGTCACATGCACACATGCTCAAAGTCACACTGATCTATGTGATAGGGATCTACCTGTCTGGCAGTACATGCCAACGTAGCCGCGTGCACAGTCGCATATATAGTTGCTGACGCCGTCCACACAAGTAGAGTTGTGGCGACATTGGTGGTTCGCACATTCATTGATATCTGCAAGTCCAAAATAGTAATATAGGTAGGTGACGTGTTGTAATAATGATAAGACGATAAAGACAAGGAGGCTGATTTCCTATATATCTGACGTTATGTTGATTGGAATCAAGCCCAGACATACCACAGATTACACCCGACCTGTCATTTCAAGTGTTGACAATATTTGTGTAAAAAGACAATATTTGTGTAAAAAGACAATATTTGTGTAAAAAGACAATATTTGTGTAAAAAGACAATATTTGTGTAAAAAGACAATATTTGTGGAAAAAGATAATATTGTTGAAAAGGACAATATTGTGGAAAATGACATATTATTCATAACGACTACGACTTTAGTGTCTAGATCATGCTCCTGCTTCAACTTATCGAAGTTATCTTTATATAAGTTTATGACTATCAAGTGCTGTTATACATCATGCGGCGTGTTTCCGTGTACAGGGGCTATGCACTCGGCAAGCACCCAGTGAGGCACACACCCCACCAATCCCTATCAGCTCGCCGTGTCGCGATGACATGACAAAAGGTTGCCCTTCAGTGTTCTGAATGATTGTGAATGTCGTAGGTGATATATCTGAACAGGGCATGAGTTGCCCACGTTGTTGCAAGCCACTGTAATACGCTGAACAGAGTTGCGTCCCCTTGGGCGAACATGGCATGAGGTAAGGGCTTTGAATAAATTAATTTCTGTGTACAGTTCCGACTTATCTATGTACTGGTAACTACTGAGCCATGGTTTTGGACACACGACAGGTCCAGTGTAGCTGGTCAGGGCTTCTGTGATACTTATAACATGTGTGTCCACACTGACCTTGACAGGGAGTAGAATTGTGTGACGTTTCTGGACACACGACGAATTTGTGAGTGTCCACTGTGTAGCTGGTCAGGGCTTCTGGGCGTGAAGGAGTGTGTGACGTTGTGTGATTGTGTCCACACTGACCGTGACAGGGAGATGATACTTTGACCTCATTGTGTGTTTTGTGTATTTACTGTGGTAGGTGTAGCACTACCATCTGTTAATGCGTATGGAGACACACCTGTTTGGCAGATGGAGCCTGTATATCCACGAAGACACTCACACACGAACGAGTCCACGCCATCCACACAGGTTCCATTGTTCAGACAGGGTTGACCTTGACAGTCGTCGATGTCTTAAACAGTTATCGGACATGTTTAAAATATATCCTTGGGAAAGCATAACGGTATAAAAGTAATATGAGAAAGGTTTGTACAGTATAATAAAAACTGTAATACTATCTTAATTCCTTGAAACGGGGTTTATGCATGTGGAAGTCCCAGTGCCATGCTGGATGTTACAGAACAACGAATAACAAGGGAGGTAACTGTCAAAGAGACGTCTAGTTACCATACTATGTCAATCTGTGCAGTTATGGGTATTTGTTGATACAAACCAGCCGTAACATATGTCATATTTGGGATTACACTTCCTTAGCAAAGTACATATTGTAGTACTTTGGTTTAGTTGAGTCCCATCCGGGATTCGAACCCAGACACTCAGAGTCAGGCGCCTTATCTATGGTCAGGCACCTCATCTTTGGTCAGACATAGCAATGACCATGATCAGAAAATACTCGCAACATGTGTAAGACAAGTATTATTCGTTCACGGCGCTGCCACTGCATGTCAACTCCGTGATAATGGCGATCATAAACATTGTAATCATGTGTTCATTTATACACGGGTTGAAAGATTGTGCTAATTCTGGTGTGAAAAGTCATGTCGATACATTAATACCTCTTAATATTTATTGTAAATGAATACCTCGCTCTCTTAATGTGCACTAGATGCACCACAATGTGGATACACTATAATGTGGACACCTTAGAATGTGGATACACTATGGTGTGGATACATTAGAATGTGGATACACTATGGTGTAGATACACTATAATGTGGATACACCATAATGTGGATACACTATAATGTGGATACGCCATAATGTGGATACACTATAATGTGGATACGCCATAATGTGGATACACTATAATGTGGATACGCCATAATGTGGATACACTATAATGTGGATACTATAATGTGGATACGCCATACTGTGGATACACTTTAATGTGGATACACCATAATGTGGATACTCTATAATGTGGATACACTATAATGTGCTTTCTATACACTGGCAATACGAATGAGCTGGACTAACAGCTAGTCTCTGAAATGAACATATTTTTCAGAAAATAAAAGTTTCAAATTAAGATTGTAAATACAATAAAAAGAGCCCAGGGATTTTCTTCATTTTCAGAGACCCCTGAAGCTGTGGAAATCTAGACTTGCCACAATTTCTAGACTTGCGTGGGCTTTCTTGGATATATTTGCTTCAGGGTCTGTACGACAGACTAGGAATGAGCCTGAGTTCTTGTTAACGTTATTTTGCCATCAATTGTTAAATGTCACTTTGGTCTATGAGATGCGTATTTGATTACCAAACCTGTACTCATACATCGTTCTCCCTCTGTCAACCCAGTTATCTGCTGCGGTGAGATCAGCTGCTGTCCTCTGAAACCGCCCTTACTCCCACTGCTGGCGTGTTTTATGAAACAGGGTTCCCCAAACTTTACAATGTATGTACAATAATGTATCCGCGATGTGCAGTGGTTAAGTGAGATACCACTTTGTCGGATTCTGTATTACATTAACTCTGCAAGAATGTGATAACAGCCTGATTCACATTGTGTTCGCCGCATACAAGTCTGTATCTCAAACATCTGCAGTAGTCGATCAGACACGCGCCTTCACATTTGATGTATGTATACTGGCAGTAAAATCAGTTACGAGTAGAACAAAAGTCCTTTTACAGGTCTTTGAATGTCATGTAGACGCATAACGCCGTAATTGATAAGAAACATCATCTCTGCTCTTCCTTCGTGTACAGCATGTGACAAACACATTCTCTAGGTATGCGTCTGGGATCATCACCAGTAACATCACCATGTACAGTACCAGTTATCGCTAAATGTACAGTACAATAGCTCGTAACGCGAAAATCGTAGATAACAGGTACATGAGATCTTTCAACGTATTATATAACTTAAAACAACCTGTTATGTTGACCCTGATGTATGTGGGTGATGTATATAGACACAGTGTTGCAGTACGCTACCTCAGCAGTCAGTGCCTCTCTATGACGTACTGCCACGCATATATACTTCGCCATGTTACTGCCACACATACACTTCCTCCTGTTACTGTCACACATACACTTCCTCCTGTTACTGCCACACATACACTTCCTCCTGTTACTGCCACACATACACTTCCTCCTGTTACTGTCACACATATACTTCCTCCTGTTACTGCCACACATATACTTCCTCCTGTTACTGTCACACATATACTTCCTCCTGTTAATGTCACACATATACTTCCTCCTGTTACTGCCACACATATACTTCCCCATGTTACTGCTACACATATACATGATCACGTTACTGCCACACATATACTTAGCCCTGTTACTGCCACACATATACTTCCTCCTGTTACTGCCACACATATACTTCCTCCTGTTACTGCCACACATATATACTTCCTCCTGTTACTGCCACACACATATACTTCCTCCTGTTACTGCCACACATATATACTTCCTCCTGTTACTGCCACACATATACTTCCTCCTGTTACTGCCACACATATATACTTCCTCCTGTTACTGCCACACATATACTTCCTCCTGTTACTGCCACACATATACTTCCTCCTGTTACTGCCACACATATTACTGCCACACTTCCTCCTGTTACTGCCACACATATACTTCCTCCTGTTACTGCCACACATACACTTCCTCCTGTTACTGCCACACATACACTTCCTCCTGTTACTGCCACACATATACTTCCTCCTGTTACTGCCACACATATACTTCCTCCTGTTACTGCCACACATATATACTTCCTCCTGTTACTGCCACACATATACTTCCCCTGTTACTGCCACACATATACTTCCTCCTGTTACTGCCACACATATACTTCCTCCTGTTACTGCCACACATATACTTCCTCCTGTTACTGCCACACATATACTTCCTCCTGTTACTGCCACACATATACTTCCTCCTGTTACTGCCACACATATATACTTCCTCCTGTTACTGTCACACATATACTTCCTCCTGTTACTGCCACACATACACTTCCTCCTGTTACTACCACACATACACTTCCTCCTGTTACTGCCACACATATACTTCCTCCTGTTACTACCACACATATACTTCCCCTGTTACTGCCACACATACACTTCCTCCTGTTACTGTCACACATATACTTCCTCCTGTTACTGCCACACATATACATATACTTGCTCACACATATACTTGCCCTGTTACTGCCACACATATATACTTCCTCCTGTTACTGCCACACATATATACTTCCTCCTGTTACTGCCACACATATATACTTCGCCATGTTACTGCCACACATATACTTCCTCCTGTTACTGCCACACATATATATTTCCTCCTGTTACTGCCACACATATATACTTCGCCATGTTACTGCCACACACATATGTCCTATTGTTACTGCTACAAATATACATGATCACGTTACTGCCATACATATACTTAGCCCTGTTACTGTCACACATATACTTCCTCCTGTCACTGTCACACATATACTTCCTCCTGTTACTGCCACACATATACTTCCCCTTGTTACTGTCACACATATACTTTCCCCTGTTACTGTCACACATATACTTCCCCCTGTTACTGCAACACATATACTTCCCCTGTTACTGCCACCACATCATACTTCACCCTATTACTGCCACACATATACTTCCCCCTGTTACTGTCACACATATACATCCTACTGTTACTGCCACACATACACTTCTTCTTCCTGTTACTGCCACACATATACTTCTTCCTGTTACTGCCACACATATGCTAGTACTTCCTCTCTGTGTGACTGAGGGAAGGGAGTGGTGGTACATATAATAGGTTGATATTTCTCACAGCGTGTGCTGCGTAATTTGAATCTGTCGAATCGCGATCCCAGTTTACCTGTACCGCACTGGGTCCCTGTGAATCCGTCTTTACAGTCGCAGATGAAGTTGTTGACGCTGTCGGTACATCTGCCATCGTGCAAGCATGGGTTTGGGGTACAATCGTCAATGTCTGGAACAAAAGATGTTTTGTGCTGGACAGAAGAAATACTCGGCGATCAAATCTGTTTAACAGGAGAGACGAATGTTACATTCTTAAAACATTGAACGCTTTCAAGAAGGAACTGTTCATATAATACCCACCATGAAGACAATGCTATATCACAACAAAATTGGTAATCAGAAATACTGTAACGGCTGGATGTTTTCAGTATTATTTCATTCATCATATTTTAATATTTTACGTCCGCTTTGAACGATATGATTCTTTAGAAATGGATTCGCGACGGCCGTGTCTCTCGTACACTTGAAGATTCACATCAAATTGCATAGATTTTATATATCATCATCGGCTGTAGATAGAGAGATGTCATCAATTTCAATATAACGAAGACCACTACAGTTGATGTACCTACCCTGCTCACAGTTGACAGTAGGTAAGTAACGGAATGCACCTACCCTGTTCACAGTTGACAGTAGGTAAGTAACGGAATGTACCTACCCTGCTTACAGTTGACAGTAGGTAGATAACGGATTATCTTACCTCACACTTAAATGTCGCTTTCTGATTGGCTGAGCGCTCTTCTATTATTTTCAATGTACCCCGCTTACAAGCGAGTAACATTTCAATGTACCCCGCAGTCAATGGCAACTCATTTGGTACTTCGTGGTAGTAATTCTTTATCTCGAATAACATTGAAACACGTACGATGTACGGAAATTACCGATGTTTTGCGAATGCAAATCGATGGAAGGGAAATAACTCTAAATCTGTTTTTCTTGTCAGCAAAATCTAGCGATGGCTACAAAATGATTTGTACCCGTACTTCAAACAATTCAAAATTAACATTAAGGTGTTCGGTAAGATAAATACGTTGTTCACTGGTCCCTCGGGGCCCATGGGTTGATGTACCCTCGATGTTTGTTTATGTTCCCCTCGCCCTTCGGGCTCATAAACATAAACAAACATCGAGGGTACATCAACCCATGCCCCCTCGTGACCAGTGAACAATTTATAATGTACCTACCCTACTCACAGTTGATAGTAGGTAAGTAACGGAGTGTACCTACCCAGCTCACAGTTGACAGTAGGTAGATTCACTGGTCACGAGGGGGCATGGGTTGATGTACCCTCGATGTTTGTTTATGTTTATGAGCCCGAAGGGCGAGGGGAACATAAACAAACATCGAGGGTACATCAGACAATACGTTTTTCATTGGAATGTACCTTCCTTCTTCACAGTTGACATTAGGTAAGTAACAGGATGTACCTACCTTCCTCACAGTTGACAGTAGGTAAGTAACGGAATGCACCTACCCTACTCGAAGTTGAAAGTAGGTTGATAACGGAATGTACCTACCCTGCTCACAGTTGACCGTAGGTAGATAATGGAACATACCTATCCTGCTCACAGTTGGCAGTAGGTAGATAACGGAATGTACCTACCCTGCTCACAGTTGGCAGTAGGTAAGTAACGGAATGTACCTACCCTGCTCACAGTTGGCAGTAGGTAAGTAACGGAATGTACCTACCCTACTCACAGTTGGCAGTAGGTAGATAACGGAATGTACCTACCCTGCTCACAGTTGGCAGTAGGTAAGTAACGGAATGTACCTACCCTACTCACAGTTGGCAGTAGGTAGATAATGGAATGTACCTACCCTGTTCACAGTTGGCAGTAGGTAAGTAACGGAATGTACCTACCCTGCTCACAGTTGACATTAGGTAAGTAACGGAATCTACCTACCCTACTCACAGTTGACATTAGGGAAGTAATGGAATATACCGACCCTGCTCACAGTTGGCAGTAGGTAAGTAACGGAATATACCTACCCTGCTCACAGTTGGCAGTAGATAAGTAACGGAATGTACCTACCCTGCTCACAGTTGGCAGTAGGTAAGTAACGGAATATACCTACCCTGCTGACAGTTGACATTAGGTAAGTAACGGAATATACCGACCCTGCTCACAGTTGGCAGTAGATAAGTAACGGAATGTACCTACCCTGCTCACAGTTGACATTAGATAAGTAACGGAATATACCTACCCTGCTCACAGTTGGCAGTAGATAAGTAACGGAATATACCTACCCTGCTCACGGTTGACATTAGGTAAGTAACGGAATGTACCTACCCTGCTGACAGTTGACATTAGGTAAGTAACGGAATGTACCTACCCTGCTCACAGTTGACACCGGTGTATCCGGCCCGGCACATGCAGGTGTAGGAGCTGGGACCTTCCACGCAGTAGCCGCCGTTCCTGCAGGGGCTGCTCACGCACTCCACTATATCTGCACGGTAAAAACGTTGATGTAGTCGACGGACTTTCACTTTCACAATGGATCCATTGAGAAACATCTTTAACCCGACAGATTGTGGGAACATTTAATATATAGATCTGCAGGTGACACACAAAAGAATTTCTTGCTCTAAGAACAAGACCTGGTAGATATTTGTCAGTAGAACCATGAGTAGTGTCAGTTGTGGGACCTTTCAGGGCATATGAAGATGAAACAGTGAAAGTGAAGTAACGCGTTGTTGAATCGTACTGTAAGTTGACGCGGACGTATGTTGCAGAGCTGCATGCTGACAATAGACTGTTCGAACACCAGGTACTTCACTATTGCCAAAATCATCTGTGACTCTCATACCTACCGTGCTCACATCGGCGCCCTGTGTAGCCGTGAGTGCACACGCACGTGTACACGTTGACCCCGTCCACGCAGGTGCCGTTGTTCAGGCAGAGGAAGTCGTTCACACAGTCGTCAATGTCTGAGGGTAGATTAGAGATCAATAATTATAATCTTAAACAATTAGAGTCAGCAGTGATTTTTGTAGTACAAAATGTATAATTACGGACTTAGTTCGAATCTTTCTGCTGGTAAATGTTTGTCATTGTCAGGAATTACCTGAATGTGAAGTGTTTATATCAAGTGTTTTCTAACTGTTACCTGTATATCAAGTGTTTACTATTACCTGTATATCAAGTCTTTACCATTGTCTGCATATCAAGTGTTTACTATTACCTGTATATCAAGTGTTTACTATTGGCTGTATATCAAGTGTTTACTATTGTCTGCATATCAAGTGTTTTATATTACCTGTATATCAAGTGTTAACTATTATCAAGTGTTTACTATAGTGCCTGTTACTCCTGTATTTACCTTATCTACTGTTACCCGTGTGTTGACTATACCTGTGTGGTAGTGCCTGTTACACCTGTATTTACCTTTTCTACTAGTACATGTGTCTTTACTATACCTGTGTGGTAGTGCCTGTTACACCTGTATTACCTTATCTACTGTTACCTGTGTGGTGACTTTACCTGTGTGGTAGTGCCTGTTACACCTGTGTTTACCTTTTCTACTAGTACCTGTGTGTTGACTATACCTGTGTGGTAGTGCCTGTTACTCCTGTATTTACCTTATTTACTGTTACCTGTGTGGTAGTGTCTATTGACTATACCTGTGTGGTAGTGTCTATTACACCTGCATTACCTTATCTACTGTTACCTGTGTGTTGACTCTACCTGTGTGGCAGTGTCTATTACACCTGTATCTACCTTATTTACTGTTACCTGTGTGTTGACTCTACCTGTGTGGTAGTGCCTGTTACACCTCTATTACCTTATCTACTGTTACCTGTGTGTTGACAATACCTGTATGGTAGTGCCTGTTACACCTGCATTACCTTATCTACTGTTACCTGTGTGTTGGCAATACCTGTGTGGTAGTGCCTGTTACACCTCTATTACCTTATCTACTGTTACCTGTGTGCTGACTATACCTGTATGGTAGTGCCTGTTACTCCTGTGTTACCTTATCTACTGTTACCTGTGTGTTCACTATACCTGTGTGGTAGTGTCTGTTACACCTGCATTACCTTATCTACTGTTACCTGTGTGTTGACTATACCTGTGTGGCAGTGTCTATTACACCTGTATTACCTTATCTACTGTTACCTGTGTGTTGACTATACCTGTGTGGTAGTGCCTGTTACTCCTGTGTTACCTTATCTACTGTTACCTGTGTGCTGACTATACCTGTATGGTAGTGCCTGTTACTCCTGTATTACCTTATCTACTGTTACCTGTGTGCTGACTATACCTGTATGGTAGTGCCTGTTACTCCTGTGTTACCTTATCTACTGTTACCTGTGTGCTGACTATACCTGTATGGTAGTGCCTGTTACTCCTGTATTACCTTATCTACTGTTACCTGTGTGCTGACTATACCTGTGTGGTAGTGCCTGTTACACCTGTATTACCTTATCTACTGTTACCTGTGTGTTGACTATACCTGTGTGGTAGTGCCTGTTACACCTGCATTACCTTATCTACTGTTACCTGTGTGCTGACTATACCTGTGTGGTAGTGCCTGTTACTCCTAGTACCTTATCTACTGTTACCTGTGTGCTGACTATACCTGTGTGGCAGTGTCTATTACACCTGTATTACCTTATCTACGGTTACCTGTGTGTTGAGTATACCTGTGTGGTAGTGCCTGTTACACCTGTGTTACCTATCTACTGTTACCTGTGTGTTGACTATACCTGTGTGGTAGTGCCTGTTACACCTGTGTTACCTTTCTACTGTTACCTGTGTGTTCACTATACCTGTGTGGCAGTGAGACCCCGTGTATCCTGGTTGGCAAATGCAAGAGTAGTTACTGACGCCATCTCGACACGCCCCGTGTCCACTACACCGGTCTGGAGAACAGTCGTTTATATCTGTAAGTGAGAAATATGACCCATTAAACACCAAGCACATTGAGGATGAGTAGACAGTCCCATCCTCAGGTTAGCCGCAAAAATATATTGTAAACCGAGCAGTCACTGTGCCTCTCCCTCAGTCTGTAAAGGCAAATGTGGGGACGAAATATCATTATTCTAAATACTCACTGATGTCGCAATGCAGTCCTGTGTAACCAAGGTAACAGAGGCAGGTGTAGGAGTTCACTCCGTCTTTGCATTCGCCATGCACACACGGGTCTCCGAGACATTCGTCTATATCTGTATATATAAACATTTCTAGTAGCACATGGATCTCCAAGACAATCGTCAATATCTGTGTATATAAGCATTTCTAGTAGCACATGGATCTCCAAGACAATCGTCTATATCTGTGTAGATAAACATTTCTAGTAACACACGGGTCTCCGAGACATTCGTCTATATCTGCGTAGATAAACATTTCTAGTAACACATGAGACCCCTGAGCAGGTGTCAGTGCAGGGTAGGGTAGGGTATGGGGTGACGAGCTGCTCACCTCTCAGTATTTAGGGGATAAGCATAGCAGGGTAGGGTATGGGGTGGCGAGCAGCTCACCTCTCAGTATTTAGATGATACGCATAGCAGGGTAGGGTATGGGGTGGCGAGCAGCTCACCTCTCAGTATTTAGGTGATACGCATAGCAGGGTAGGGTATGGGGTGGCGAGCGGCTCACCTCTCAGTATTTAGATGATACGCATAGCAGGGTAGGGTATGGGGTGGCGAGCGCCTCACCTCTCAGTATGATAAGCATAGCAGGGTAGGGTATGGGGTGGCGAGCGGCTCACCTCTCAGTATTTAGGTGATACGCATAGCAGGGTAGGGTATGGGGTGGCGAGCAGTTCACCTCTCAGTATAGATGATACGCATAGCAGGTTAGGGTATGGGGTGGCGAGCGGCTCACCTCTCAGTATTTAGGGGATAAGCATAGCAGGGAAGGGTATGGGGTGGCGAGCAGCTCTCAACAACTGTAATGATTCGCACCTTTTTCACAATTCACTCCATGGAAGCCAGGTTCACACACACACTTGTATGTATCTATTCTGTCTCGACACTGTCCACGGACACACGGGTTGGAGATGCAGTTGTCGGTGTCTGGCGGTGAATACAGCATAATATATACATACATAAGCAATCAAATGAGGATTTTGTGTCTACATTTGAGCTTTAACTCGTATCTGTACTAGATGATATATGGATTGATATTATGAGCCATCATGTCAGCGAACCAGACCAGCTAACTTGTAGACTTGGATTCTCTTCATTGTTCTAACAGTCGTCCTGTATCATCCGTATCCACAGCTTTAATACGTCATGATCCGTATTGATGCACTTTAAACCTTAACACCAATAAAGGATTAGACTGAGCTGACCATCAATTCGCCTGTCGTGCATGTGTTCCTGCGAACATGGTCCAACCAGGATACAGCCACAACAACACAAACCGATACATGCTGCGAACATGGTCCAAGTAAGATACAGCCACATCAACACAAGCCAATACATGCTGCGAACATGGTCCAATCAGGATACAGCCACAACAACACAAACCGATACATGCTGCGAACATGGTCCAAGTAAGATACAGCCACATCAACACAAGCCAATACATGCTGCGAACATGGTCCAAGTCGGATACAGCCACATCAACACGAGCCAATACATGCTGCGAACATGGTCCAAGTAGGATACAGCCACATCAACACAAGCCAATACATGCTGCGAACATGGTCCAAGACGGATACAGCCACATCAACGCGAGCCAATACATGCTGCGAACATGGTCCAACCAGGACACAGCCACATCAACACAAGCCAATACATGCTGCGAACATGGTCCAACCAGGACACAGCCACATCAACACAAGCCTATACATGCTGCGAACATGGTCCAACCAGGACACAACCACATCAACACAAGCCTATACATGCTGCGAACATGGTCCAACCAGGACACAACCACATCAACACAAGCCTATACATGCTGCGAACATGGTCCAACCAGGATACAGCCACATCAACACAAGCCTATACATGCTGCGAACATGGTCCAACCAGGATACAACCACATCAACACAAGCCAATACATGCTGCGAACATGGTCCAACCAGGATACAGCCACATCAACACGAGCCGATACAGAAACCAAATCAGCAACATGGATGTAGAGGTTTGGAAGAACCATTTAAAAATACACAAGTTGGTGTGTTGAGGGAAGTCCGCTCCGATTATTGTCCGAATGAGTTGTTCTTTCGAGGTGCCGTATCCACTCAACAGCCTGTGTGCGATAGGCGCATTTAAGCGACTAGTCATTATCAGGAATGTGGAACACCTGAAGGACCCGCCCGGTCCCTCACTAGCACCAATTGTATGGGAAGTATTTATGTCAGATCATATGCACAACTACAGATACAGACATGGCAAATTATTCTCAAGCAAACGTATTGTAACTTACCTTTGAACAGTGGTTCCATAGTATTGTTCTTTTCTGGAACAAATAACAGCCATGTGTTCTTGTTATTTCAAATACATCGTATGTCATGTCCAGCCTTACTGAAATATGCCCATCATCTTCTCAACTTTCATATTTTGTTTACAGAGGTTACAACATTATGGGAGTTTAGGTATCAATCGATATAGAACAATGACTGTCTGACTGTTAATGATAATAATGAGTCCATTTATATAGCGCAAAACTCCAGACAAGGTATGCTGCATATGTAAAAAGACCAATATGTAACAACACGTCCTTCTTGTTTATTCATGTCACTAAATGGGCTCCTATTAAACAACACTCGTACATATTTGCTACATTTTCCAGTTGGGTTACGTTTCCAGATCAAACATTTCATAAATACATGGCGCCTACCTACATGAGTAACCTACGAAATATAGTTGGGTGACTGTAATTAACTAGTACATGTAAAATAGTATACCATCTATGTAGATGGTGTATTCACCTCAGGTAGATGGTATACTCACTGCAGGTAGATGGTATACTCACTGCAGGTAGATGTATACTCACTGTAGGTAGATGGTATCTCACTGTAGGTAGATGGTATACTCACTGCAGGTAGATGGTATACTCACTGCAGGTAGATGGTATACTCTCTGCATGTAGATGGTATACTCTCTGCATGTAGATGGTATACTCACTGCATGTAGACTGGTATACTCACTGCATGTAGATGGTATACTTTCTGCATGTAGATGGTATACTCACTGCATGTAGATGGTATACTCTCTGCATGTAGATGGTATACTTCTCACCTGCAGGTATTCTCACTGCAGTATTCCTCACCGTAGATGTATACTCACTGTAGGTAGATGGTATACATACTGCTGCGCTCTCTGGTAGATGTATACTCTCTGCATGTAGATGGTATACTCTCTCATGTAGATGGTATACTGCTGCATGTAGATGGTATATACACTGCATGTAGATGGTATACTCACTGCATGTAGATGGTATTACTCACTATATGCATGTAGATGCAGGTATGACTCACTGTATGAATTAACCCAGGTATACTCACTGCAGGTAGATGGTAGATGGTACACCACCGTAGGTAGATGAGACACACATAATCGCACCGCAGGTAGATGGCATACTCCACTCTGCATGTAGATGGTATACTCTGCATGTAGATGGCATACCTCTGCATGTAGATGGTATACTCACTGCATGTAGATACATGTAGATGGTATACTTCACTGCATGTAGATGGTATACATGTAGATGGTATACTCACTGCATGTAGATGGTATACTCTCTGCATGTAGATGGTATACTTACTGCATGTAGATGGTATACTCACTGCATGTAGATGGTATACTCACTGCATGTAGATGGTATACTCACTGCGGGTAGATGGTATACTCACTGCAGGTAGATGTATACTCACTGCAGGTAGATGGTATACTCAATGCATGTAGATGGTATATTCTCTGCATGTAGATGGTATTCTCACTGCAGGTAGATGTATACTCACTGCAGGTAGATGGTATACTCACTGCAGGTAGATGTATACTCACTGCAGGTAGATGGTATACTCACTGCAGGTAGATGGTATACTCACTGCAGGTAGATGGTATACTGACTGCAGGTAGATGGTATACTCACTGCAGGTAGATGGTATACTCACTGCATGTAGATGGTATACTCACTGCAGGTAGATGGTATACTCACTGCATGTAGATGGTATACTCACTGCAGGTAGATGGTATACTCAATGCAGGTAGATGTATGCTCACTGCATGTGGATGGTATACTCACTGCAGGTAGATGTATACTCACTGCTCGAGATGTATGCTCACTGCAGGTAGATGGTATACTCTCTGCATGTAGATGGCATTCTCACTACAGGTAGATGGTATAGTCACTGCAGGTAGATGCATACTCACTGCAGGAAGAAGTATACTCACTGCAGGTAGATCGTATACTCACTGCAGGTAGATGTATACTCACTGTAGGTAGATGTATACTCACTGCATGTAGATGGTATACTCACTGCATGTAGATGTATACTCACTGCATGTAGATGGTATACTCACTGCAGGTTGATGTATACTCACTGCATGTAGATGGTATACTCTCTGCAAGTAGATGTACACTCACTGCAGGTAGATGGTATACTCACTGCAGGTAGATGTATACTCACTGTAGGTAGATGGTATACTCACTGCAGGTAGATGGTATACTCACTGCAGGTAGATGGTATACTCACTGCGTGTAGATGGTATACTCACTGTGGGTAGATGGTATACTCACTGCAGGCATATGGTATACTCACTGTAGGTAGATGGTATACTCACGTTGTTCACACTGGCGACCCTGGAAACCATCCCTGCAGAGACAAGAGTAGGGGCAGCCCTCAGTACACACAGCGTCGTTCAGACAGGGGAAACTGTCGCAGTACCTTGTCTCCTGCAACTCTGGGAGGGAGGGGAGGTAATCAGTATCAAACCCTATATCACAGGGAGGTAATCAGTATCAAACCCTATTTGGGAGGGGAGGTAGTCAGTATCAAAACCCTATATGGCAGGTGGGCGCCTATAGGCCTTTTAAGGCCCAAGGTCGCCAAAAAACCTTACCTACCTACCTATATGGCAGGGGAGGTAATCAGTATCAAACCCTATATCGGGAACCCTTTGAATGCCTTTCCTCAAACTAGCCAGATGCTAACTAAGTAAAACAATGTCAAATTTCCATGATCATTTTGCTCAATGTTCGCTGTAACGTTTGTATTTTACAAAGTAATTGTGGAATGAAGATAACTTCTGTTTTCAAAGTGTCTAAAGTGGCAGGTATGTTGTCGTTTACAAAACGCGTTGTCTCTATATTATAGGCTATGAGATGCTGATAAAATGCTGCAAAACACCTTGTGTCCATACACGTCATCACGCCGTGACATTTAACGGTTGTCGTGCTGCGATTTCTTGTGTCCAAAAGGCAACAACAGGTAATGTGCGAACAAGCTAGTCTTCGTTAAGAAATCATCAGTCCCAAAGAACAATTTCTTCCATTAGTTTTATAAAGAAATATAAGTTAACAAAAAAATCTGATTCTATAGGCCTCATACCTTGGAAACGGACTGCGTTATTATACAAACTTTTTTATAATTTGCGAAATACCAAATGTGCCTTACCAGACGTTTTATTTGTCATAGAAATTCCTGTTGAAAATCCAAAACCCTCTCCTGAGCCAAATCCATAAAATATGGCACCATATTTCATCTCTGGCATCAGTACTAACTGCTCAAAGGATCTCGTCAGCTTCATGGTGGCCACAGCATACTTGCAGTCCGGAATAACTCTAACCTCATCAAACATATCGAAATTGTCTTTGCATTCCTGTTTCTGGATCACCGTGACATACGGGGTCATCCTTGTCTTCATGAAGGTTATGTTCCAGAGATGTGGGAGATGGATCGGCATGGACGAGAACCTCTCAGTGGGAGGAACAACAGTCATGAATGGCCCTCCAAACCCCTCGGGGACATCGGCATGGCTTCCCTTTGAGAACATGACGACCAGGACGGGTTTGCTGGTGCTCAGACACATTGGCCCCGTCTCCTTGATGTTGATGTCAGCCGCCTGAGACTCGTGCAAGGTTCCCCCATGTCCCAGGCTAGATGTTATAGACGTGTGGTTTTCGTTGGCGATGATTCTGTATATGGCACCAGACGGACGACCTCCAAGTTCATGGAAGACAAAATGGCTCCCGAAGAGCTCTGACGGTATCATCATCTCCTCCATGTGGTCACACTCCGGCATCATGGCGTGGGGCACGAAGGTACACACACCGCCCGACACAACGCTCACTGGTCTACTGCTTGTAATGATTGTTCCAGTTGGGTCCACAGTGCAGTTTGTTCCTATCACATCATACTTGTTTATTGTCATCACAACTTCCTTTTGTTTAGCATCTTCTCTCACTGATGCTTGGGGAAACGAAAATGTGAACTGGTTTAGAAATGAACCCAAAACAGATGTAGATTTTGGCTGTACTCCACATGAAGATAGTGAATGCTTGAACTTGATGGTAACGGTTGTATTATCCTCAAGGGCAGCTATTGTAAACGCTGAGACAGTAGGTTTTGAGTTGCTGAACACACTGAAAATTGTTGAAGGTTTATTGAAAGCAGCCAGGAGATAGCGTGTTGACAGTGCTTCCACGGGTAAGGCAACATATCCGTCAGAAGTTATGTTGCCGATATTAAACACGTGGACAACAATGTCAGCAGAAGAGTTCACAATCACAGCTTTCCGTTCTATTTCCAGATGGTTGCGGTACCTGAGCTGGGAACTTAGACTGACGTTTACTGAATCATGTTGTGCGATGTCATATGATAGCGATATGTTGTAGAACTGGTTTTCTACCTGCACGCTGGTGTCATTGTGCGCTGAGAGCACTAGTAGAATGTTTCCACTACTGTCGTGGGTGGGAAGGAACGACAACAGGAACATCTTCCCGGCTTTGTCGCTAACGACACCTGTATCAAACATAAAGTAGGTAACATCACACACACAAAGATATACATAGGTGTGTCTGAGTGTGTGACTGTTAAAATAACACAGGGTACATCACTTTACATGTCTATCAGGGGCGGTAGGGTAACCTTGTGGTTACAGCATTCGCTCGTCACGCCGAAGGCCCGGGTTCGATTCCCCACATGCATACAAGGTGTGAAGCCCATTTTCTGGTGTCCTTCGCCGTGATATTGCTGGAATATTGCTACAAGCATATTCACTTACTCACTGACGACAGTGAGGTCGTTGAACCATGCAGTCTACAGTGCCATGGAGAAACTGGACATGCGACAGAACACCCAACAGACTGACCATGCATACTATCTGTAGTTTTGTCCGAACACTAAACTATTATCTGGGTCCTCAGAACAGCATATGCGAGCTACGTGGTCATTACATTTACTCTCGGGTCAATATCCTACCTTCTGCTGCTGAGAAAATCTGCGATACTCCCATTTCCTGTTGACAAAAGGAAACATTATCGAACATCTGAGGACAAAAGGTTATCATCAACACCGGATGTCATCATGCAAAGTGTTGCTTGTGAAGAGCGTTATAATCGTGTTGGATTAATGCGTACGTTTTATGTCGGCGTCCGAATCTACTCGTAGACAACCTATCAGTAGGATGCCCGGTTCAGTATGATTCAAAAGGACCAGGCCCATGTTCAAGGGTTTCACAATGGTTGTGAACAAGTAAGGCCTGCATGGCATCGAACATTCCTGCCACATGTAACTGAAAGGTACTAGAACCCTCCACATAGAATATATTAGAAAGATCTGCCTTAGCGTGCACATTTCTAGCAACTTAGTAGCCTCTCATTGCATCTCAAGTCACCAGAAGACCAGTATTGTGTGTGACGGTCAGTGTATCCTCCTGCCAAGGCTAGAGAGGTGAATAATACAATCAATGTCGTATGTACTATAATCACTTCTCTTGCACTATACTGTCTCTGAATGTGTCTAGATTTGTATTGATTTGCGAACAAGGTTACTTTTAGAGTACAATTGTTAATTACATCACATTACTTTATTGTTTGTTGATTTCACACCGAGTTCTTTTACGGACTGATTCCCAGTTAACCTGACATTAAAATGATTTAAACTACACATGGTATCTATAGCTTAATGAAATGTGTTTTCCGAAGGCAGACAAACGATATCTCACCATTAAACAAAATGGCGCCCCGGAAAATAGATGTACTCTTTGTATATAAATACAGGTACGACAACAGTTTAAACACACGACGACTTACCAGAGCCAACTGTATCACTACTGCATACTGCAGTGTGATTGTCATCCCTGTGAACATTGCAAACAATGCTAGAAGAGGGGTTCTCGTGGCCATATGTACGTCAAACAAGAACAATGTTGATGACAGAACATTTCAATATATTATTCAGAATGTTGGATCAGATTCCATGGCTTAAGGTCACAATCGATAACGCCCTACATCTCAGCATTGTCGTTAAACTGGGAAAATATAAAAGGGTACAATATATAAACATAACTCAACAGACGCATGTTGTTCCGGTCAAGGGCCACACTTTAACGTCGGCTACTGACAGGTGAGATCGCGATCACCCTACTGTTGTTCGCCCTTTACTTTAACAACGTCATACAAGGGTGTAAACAGTTGGGGAGAGTTACAGGGTGTCAACAAGTATGTGGGACAGGTCATTTACCTCAGATACACGGTTCGTGGAAAACTCGTGGTGTTTAGCGTATTATTATTATTATAAATGCTACGGAGCTTGAGCCTAATGATAATGTGTGCATTTATAATGCACTAAACTCCATTCACTAGGCTCAATAGGACTAATATTACCCCGGATACCCCAAGCTGCGCTAGCTTAATAGTCACATGACTTTTCCCACCGGGTACCCATTTTCTGTTTAGTGAACAGAGGCAATTTTGAACAAACTTACTTGCCTAAGGTGAGACCACATGTATCACATGCCTAACATGTAATTCACATAAAAGTTTATATCTACGTGCTCTTCCCTGTATGGCCAATAATTGGATTACACTCATATTATCTCTGCAATCGATAAATATGCGGAGGCCTTAGCTTCACGTGTGTTTTTGTGTGAACAAATACGTTTATACATCTCCACCACGACACAATACCTCTATTGAGTCAAGGGAGGCGGACACATCTTGATTCCCAAACCGATAATTCAGTACTACACAATCAAACATGTAATTGTGAAACACCCACAAGATCAATGAACAAAATATATATTGACATGCACAAGATTAGATTTACAAACATAGCAATGCAATATCTCAAGTTTCAGGTAGTATAACGCTGAAAATGACAATGAGACATTGCAATCGTTATGAAAACGGTACCTGAAAAGAGTTCCGGAACACCACTGACGAAACACAACCACTTAATTGACTTGTCAAGACAGTGAGTGAGTGAGTATGGTTTAACGCCGCTTTTAGAAATATTCAAGCAATATCACGGCGGGGGACACCAGAAATGGGCTTCACACATTGTATCCATGTGGGGAATCGAACCCGGGTCTCCGGCGTGACGAGCCAACGCTTTAACCACTAGGCTACCCCACCGCCCTTGTGCAGACAAACCAGCTGCAGTACAGACAGGTAGAACTAGTATACGCGTGGTCATCTGTGAGGACCCTGCTTCACCAGTATAAAGTATATAATGTGATCATATACGCACCAGGAACAGTATGTCGTGTGACCTGTATTATGCTGATTCAGAAAAATTCCTACACAAGTTCTTGACTATGGATGAAACGTCACATCATCATTTTCAACATGTTTGATTGTTGCACATATTTACAAATTTGACGCACCGGTGACAAAAAGTATATCCGATGCAATCCCCTATTTTGACTTGCTCCATACCTTCCGTATTTTATCGGGTTTTCAATTGACTAGCCTGTGCATGTGTTTATGCTGGGTGAAACCGGTGCTGCCTACGCTGACACCTATAACGCGGTATCAGAACTCATTTATCACGATTCCTAAAAATGACTGCTTTAAGCAGAATTTTCTGATTGATGTAGAAAGGATTTTGTTACCCGCTGAGTTGAAACTAATACGTAGTTAACCTGGAATCAGCAATGTAAAAGAATACACATGTATTGTGGAACCAACAAAGAAAGAAATGTGTTGTAAAGAACAACTGTATTCTAAAATTAACGGGGTTCACAGATCAATACAAAGTACATATAATCACAGTGGCACTACAAACCACAGGGGCTGATGTGTAAGCGATTTGATGGGACATTTATTGTTTTAGCCAATGAGCTCCCTTTTCAGTGCGGGGCGGGTTAAGGCCAAGGTCGTCAATGGCGAACGGGCACGACACAAATCCGTTTGCGATGAAAAAATGTACGTAAACTCATTATGACAGTTAGATGTAAATGTCTCCGAAAGAATGACGACTAGCACGCTGACAGGCGCCATCAGTTCAACATGTTTTGGTGAATGTCGTTTGTGTATACTGTGAAATAAACAAGAAAATGGGTGAGATTCCGCTACAAATTCTGAGCAGGGATTTTGGCTCGGAATCGAGAAATCACGATTTTTCGAGCTTCCGAAGACCCTAGCTCCCAAAGTACTGCTTCGATTTTTGTGCTCTATGTCTTATTTTGTTAGGTAAATCTATTGGCTTGAAATGTGTGCATACTTTAAATGGGACAGATACAGTGATCATTGTTGAATTCGCCCTGAAACGAACTTGGTGTGTTGACCTCGTTACATTCTTTTCCTTTTATATAGTGATAAGACCCCGTTAGTGACACTACATACCTTGATGGCAGTTTTTAGCGTTACAAGCGCCTGTGCTACAAACTACAAACTAGAGTGGCAAACTAGAGAGTAACCTCAGATGTAATGTGAGATGCGGGGCAAGAGTTAGCTCCCTTCATGGGAAAACGCTACCAGCTTTTGTATCATGTTCTCTGCATCAGAGGAGGGTTCTTGTGAATTCCAGAACTCAGTCTGTCACAAGCACATGTCTAAATGTCCAGAAAACCACTGACCCCTCCTGAATGTCAACAGGTACAACGTATTACGCTTGGAACGTTCTATCACAATGGATAAAACATTTTAAGAAAATGTATGTTTGATGAAAACACTAACTCAATTGTATTTTCTGATATGATTAATATCTACTGTACTGTTGTACAATGGGCTGTTTCCCGATACTGACATGGTCTGCGGAAGATATGTCATATTTAATTAATTATTATTGAATTACAGTCTGACGGGGTGATATCTGCAGGAATCAAACACTTACAGAAAGCGTATCACGTCTATACCCAAACTGACTATAATATTATTTTCAGATAAATTTTTCAGATATCTTTGCACAAATACCCTCTTCACCTTGTTACCCTGCATATGTCATTACAGAAATCAATAATTGTCAAAGGTGTATGTCTCCATATCACTTCTCCTTCAGTATATTGAGTAACTGGCATAGTGAGTGGATGCAACTAAATTCAGGACAGTGGTTACAGGGGCGCGATCTTTATTCCATGTGTAACAACTCACCCTGAAACAATACATGATTCAATATATACAAAGTCATGCTATATATACTGATGTACAAAAGATACTTGGTGTTTTGAGACTGTTAAACAACGTAAATATTTTTCTAGCAATGTTCCAATTGGGTACGATATCTATGGTGTTATTGCAACACGTTCACAATGTTTGTGACTTTTGAGTTACAATCAAAACACTTTTCTAAATATTACGCTGGTTTTAGGAAAACATTTTACCAAAGCATCAGGTGTGTAGTTTCTTTTGTACGTCAGTTTACTTAAGATTAAAATCGGTCATTGCTTCTTTCAGATGAAATACAAGTCAGATTCTGAACAAATTACCTACAAGGGGCGATAACTCATAAATTTGCTTCTGACATATGACTGAAATAAACATGGTTAACATACAAGCATCTGAATTCAATAAACATGCCCAGATAGAAAATATGTAGTACAGAATATTCAATAAACATTATAACCAGTACAAAGTAATTCCAACCCGGTGTATGACACTAGGGTATAGAAATACAGCACAAGCCAAACAAGCGTACCTATAATCTATGCAACGTTAACGTTTTTATTATTTCGAAACCTGGGATATAATTAAAGTATTTCAAGGTAATATCACATTCATACTTACATCCACATATACACTATCCTTTCTCACATTCATACATTCAATCAATCAAACGTCCAAATATTCAACCATTCACGCATAGGAAAACTTTAATGATTTTAGTTATTTGGACACTTTCAGTTGTTGAATTCCACTAAGAGATGACATGTTATTATTTATACTTAGTTATTCTTTATTACACACAAAGGTTACAGTTTATATTTAAACATAAACATTAAAAATGGCGTGTAAATGTAAACACACTCAGTGACTAATTTAAGAGATTATACTGACCTGTGAGATATACAAAGATGAGTTGATTTCCAGCACATGGCAAATGTCTTGCTGGTGCAAAGACTGAAAGTGAAGTGCAGATTTGAATTAGGGAAAAAAGGCAAGAATTCGAATGATTCAATCAGACTGGATTAAATCAGGGCACATAAAAGTGTGATGACCTTACATAAGCACCCTTAATTAAACTACTATGATACTGACAATATAGCTATTAATAGACATTTGTTAAGATGGGTATAGTCAAAATGACCAGACCTGTTGACGGAAACATATTTCATTAATATAAATAAGAAATGATATCCCTGCTTCCTGAAATGATATCCCTGTTTCACACTGGTCACTAACTCACCTTCAATATAGTAGCTTCACATTGGTCATTAACTCACGTTCAGTACATTAGTTTCACCTTGGTCACTAACTTACGTTCAGTATATTAGTTTCACCTTGGCCACTAACTCATCTTCAGTATAATATAAACAGTAGATATTTTAATCATATCAAAATCCTGTTCAAAGAGCAATTGGGAGCAATATGTTTTATAAATATAGTCCAAAAATTCAGTTTTTATTCAAGAACATACACAATATTGTAAAACGTTATTGTTCAAACTTCACTTAAAGGTCACATGCAACCAAACACAAACATAATTAAAACACAATTATCACTTATTCATGACATATAATGTACATTGCTGATTATGAAAAAACAAATAAACAAAATTATAAGCGTACAATCGCAAATCAAAAGTGCAATATTTTGTACTTGGGTTTACTTCCCTCGAAACGAAGCACCCGGGATACCGAACCCAGTCAGAACGGTGGGCGTGCACCTAAGTGAAACAAAGCCTTTCATTTGCTGGTTCATTTGCCGATAAACTCTTTGTGTGTGTATAGAGATGTTGGGTTTTG